AGGAGGCAGTGGAAGACAGGAGGGCCTGGCGTGCTCTGGTCCATGGGGTCACGAAGAGTCAGACACGACTTAACAACTAAACAACAACAACAAATCCCAGTGTATTCAATGGGCCCTCTTAGAAAATTATAAAATACAGATGGGGTATTGTAGCATCTTAAAGGCTAACTGATTTATTTAACAGTAAGAAAAAAATTTAAAGACAACAAAGCTTTATTTTTGTTTTTGCCTGTTATGCTTACACAGACTAACTCAGCTACCTCTTCCCAGACCACAACTGACTTATTTAAGTATGTACTTCCATGGATAAAAATCCACTTCCACAGAAACATGGAGCATAACCAGACACATGGCATCTCCCAGATAAATTATGTCTATGATTACAGTCTAAATTTACCATTTCTTTTAATTATTTTATATTTACATTGACTTCAGTGACACCTAAAGGAGGATAGCAGAAGTAATTTGATTCCATTTAGAAATACAGAGCATTGCCCTCATAATAGGAATATGACTGAAATAGAGCTACAGAAATTGGTAAAAGTAAATGTCGTCCTCAATTTTCCTCTAAGCATGGATTTGTTTAGGACTAGGTGCTATCTCTTGTCTAAGTGCTATGTATTCAGGTATAAATGAGGAATAACTAAGCCGTGCTCATGACAGAATGCAAATCTGTTCCTGCAAAAGTGTAGCTCTTTTTTTCAGACCAATGCTACCTTAATTGGCCAAATTTTAGGATACTATTAAAGGGATACAAATGAAACATCCTGTATTTACTATGCAGCCAAAGATATACTGACTGGATTTTATAGCCAAAATCCTACTGCTGACATAGTAAATTACAATACAGTAGGCCCATTTACCCCTTCATGGATTGCTGATTGGTCATCACAAGCACTTTTTTCCAACAACACAAGAGGTGACTCTACACATGAACATCACCAGATGGGCAATACCGAAATCAGATTGATTATATTCTCTGCAGCCAAAGATAGAGAAACTATACAGTCAGCAAAAACAAGACGTGGAGCTGATTGTGGCTTTGATCATCAGCTTCTTATAGCAAAACTGAAGAAAATAGGAAAAACCACTGGGGTAGTCAGGTATAATCTAAACCAAATCCCTTGTGAATATACAGTGGAAGTGAAGAACAGATTTAAGGAACTAGATTTGGTGGACAGAGTGCCTGAAGAACTATGGATGGAGGCTCGTAACATTGTACAGGAGGCAGCAACAAAAACCATCCCAAAGAAAAGGAAATGCAAGAAAGCAAAGTGGCTGTCCAACAAGGCCTTACAAATAGCAGAAAAGAGAAGGGAAATAAAATGCAGGGGAGATAGGAAAATCTACAGAAAATTGAATGCAGGCTGTGGCGATTGCGCATGTCAGTCATGCTATTCATAGTCATGAGCTGATTTGCATGAACCAATGAGAGGACTGGAGAAGCAGAGTCAGCAGCTACAGGAGGCTTGGTAGGAGGAGAAGGAGGAGTCCAGATAGAGATTGGAATCAAATACCAGAGATAGGGCTGGTTAGTCAGAGAGAGAGGGAACAGATAC